TTTTTATGCAGATTAGCCAAAGAAGAAACCTCAACCGCAAAGGAGAACCGGCAGAGCTGCCGCATCCGGAGACCCCCCCCCCCCCCCCATCAGTAAGTTTGGTTTTTTTTGTAATTTTTGGCCAACCAAGGCCCCCTAACGTATTTTTTCGTATGGGTACATGTAAAATCGGCCAAAATTGACCAAAATCAGCCAAAACCAGCCAGGTCGAGGCGAACCGCCGCTGTGGATGGTGGTGCCGCCATGTCGGAATCCTAAAATTGGTCAGAAAGGATTTTCGACACCGATTTAGGATTTTTGGGGTATTTTTAATTATGTGACGAGTTTTTTTATTTCTGTAAAAAAATTCAGAAACTTCGAGACCCGTTTAGAAGGCGTAGTAGACAGTGCAACATCTTAAAATACTGATCCGGGTAAGGATCCCTCACTTTATTCCATGTTACGGTAAATAGAGGCTTAATAATTGATAATTGTGTATTTTGTAAAAACTAGAAAAATCCTAACAATAATTACAGGTCACTAATGGAGCTGAAAAACTAGTCAATGTACGTTTGTCCTAAACTCGTCTATATTGCCTATTTATTTTTCTGTACGACCTAAATTGCTTGTTGTTCTGTCATATAATTTAAATTATCACATTTAATCGCTTTCTTGTTATTGATTGTCTAATTGTAATTCTTATCTGATTGACTGAGTTGAAAATAAAGGTCCTGAGTACGTTTCTTGGTTATTAAGGTATAAAGTTGTATTATTTGCATAAATATATTTTAATTAATCTGTGAATATGATATGAGAGATTGGTATGCACTTGGTGTTTGTTTGTTGATGAAGATCTTTATGTGAAAGGCTTATTAGGTATCCTGAGAAAGGGCGGACGAGCCCGGTACATAGGAAACCCTACCGTGAACTTACCTTAGTCGGATGAGGCTGGGAAGTTTAATACCAAAAAGATTTGGAAGATATAGTTCACCCTCATACCGGACATGATATCGAGGCGATGGAATGTTTGGTGCCCATTACTGGACGGGGTATGGGGATAGCTGATTAATTAATAAATTTGAATATTTAGTTCACGCATAGGAGGACATCCCTATAGGTCCCCAGGGGTACCAGTAAGCAGGTAAGAAAGAAAAATTATCCTTTTTTATTCACTTGTGCATGAAATTAAAAAATTGTATGGATATAGGTTTTCATAGGTTGATTTTTAGAAAACTCATAATGGTAAGTATGGAATAAACGATTTTCTTCATGATTAATGAATTTACTTAAATTAAGGGCTCCATTAGTTATTTTGTAATTTTTATCAACCTTTGTTTTTCGTATCATTGATTAGTGTGATATTCTTACTAGGCTAGTATAGTTCTCCCTTCTATTAAGTATTTCAAATCAAGAGGACCAAGATGCAAATCCGATCAGCAAGAAGGTTGTGAGTAGTTTACCTCCTAGACCCCTTCAAGAGCTAGTGGAGGTTAACTCCTAGGATATCTATTTATTTGTTTTAAAACATTTATTTACTTCTTTTTACGAGCCATTACAGTAGAGACATTCTCGTATACTATTGGGCATTCTTCTTTATTATATAAAGGAATGTAAACCCTAACATTATTATTCGTTTTGGCATTTAAATCATAAATTCATTTCTATTTAAGTTTCGGCCCTTTACAAATCAAACCAAATTTGATAGTGTCATTAAGATGAATTTCCTAAATTTATTTGTTGGAATATTGAAGATAATAGTTTTTGATTAAGTAATTAGAAGAACAATTTGAGAGATAATTTGCGCACATGTATGAATCTCGCTTAAGAAAACTTTGTAGTTGATACTTCATTAGGTGATCAATATAACAAGATTGCTCAAGCATGAGATGTGACTATTGATATGTATAAGGTCAACTTCAACTATCAATTTTTTATGATTTCATTTCAAACGAGTTTCAAACTTTTTTAACTTATATTTAAGCTTTTGTCATAATTAGAACATGAACCTTACAATTTATTCTCCATGATTATTTCGAATGGGTCCTCTAGCTATTACATTATTAGGGTTATCTCTTGTAAAAACATTTATATTAAATTTTGAACTAATCTATCAAAATAACTTCTACTCTCACACATGAATATTTACTAAGACCCCTCAGATTAAATTAAAGGATATGTTAGTAGACTAGCATCATGAAACTTTATCATAAACTTGATGAATTTTATACTTTAAAGAATTATGTTGTATTATATGTAGTCATGTATGAAATTATTTTTTTTTTTTAAGGCTTACCATATGTTATGAGATATGTATCAAATTTCACTATTATATCACAGATGCGTGACTTTTTAAGTTACTTCTCTCATTTATTAAAAAATATTTAAAAAATTACATTAGAAATGATTTTATAAATTTAGAAACTAAATTATTAAAAGAAAAAAGAGACAAATCATAACATAGTTTATGAATGAATAACCAAATTAATCATTCATCTAATTTTGAATGGGGGGTTTCATATACAATTAATTGAAGGACTTAAAAATTAACAAAATAACTAAATTATAACATTTATTACAAAATCAAAACAACCAGCTAGTTGAAAACTCAAAGACCAAAACAAAAAAAAAACAAAAAAAAAAAAAAAACGAAATTTCGTATGAAAAAATGCATTTGTTTCAGTTTAGAGCAATGTAAAAGTAAGATCTTGATTTTATAGTTGTCCTCCAATTTTACTTCAATATTTTAAATAACTCCTAACTTTTTAAATTTTTTATAAAAAAAAATAGTCGAAAATATAACTACAACTTTAACAACATATCATTAAAATAACTTGGTAGTCACGTATATCTAGTTTATATGTATATATATATATATATAATCATTTTATTTATTATATTAAAACTCTTATGCTTAAAATTAAAAAAAATTATTATATTTATATATGATGATTAAAATCTTTCTGTCGGAATAACAACAAATATAAAAAATATGATTTTTTTTTTTTGCTTTATTTGATCAAAAATAATTTAGCAATTTTGGCTAAAAAAATATTAAAACTATTATCTTATAAAACTATATTAAATGAAGCTTTTAGTTCAGAAAAGATTAATGAACAATTAATTCTTTCATTCCTCTATTCAGACATGAGCTTGAGCCTTGAATTATACACTCCTTGTTATAAGATAACCAATAAAAAAATTTTCAAAATAATAAATAAAGTTAGTTTGACTAATAAAATTAAGTGGATGAAAATATACACATATATATGTGTGTGTGTATATATATATATATATATATATATATATGTATATAACACGTGTAACTGTTACATCATTTTCTTAGCAAGGCGTTACTAGTATGGCATTGAGATGTTATTAAAGTGATAGATATACTAATTGATATTCTAAAATAAAAAATAAAAAATAAAAACTAACACTATTGACATGGATGGTTTTAGGAAAAGCAAAAGTGATGTGGTAGATCCTAATTAACACATCACAGTTTGTACTTAAAAAATGAGCATGGCCATATCAGTTCATTTCTAATTGGAGTCATGTTGATCAATTTTAGATTTAAGAAAGAAAGAAAGAAAAAAAAAAATCATTTAAATATAACCCAACTATACATATATTTTTAAATTTGATTTGTAAAAAATCCACCCTTTGTCAAATTAGGCAAAAGAACATGCATTTGATAAACCCATCCAGATATTGCATATGTTCAAGTTTTTACATTAAATTGAATAAAATTAAAAAGTAAGTTAAAACTAAATTTTTACATTAAAAAAATCATGGATTATTTCAAAAATCAATCTAAAACCTTTATCATCAGCTGAGTAGTATCTCAGATATGTGTCTCATCCTATTCCGTATTCTTACAGATATCACCTTCTCCGCCCACCCTGTTCTCAATCTTCTGCAATTTTCTAACCATACATTAGATCATAACTCTCTATGTCCCTTTTATTATCTGTTGGGAAATGGTCTGCTGTTTCTCTCTGTAGTAGAATATGCTGATTTACGTAAAGGGTATATGCATTTGTGTCTCGGTTAAAGCGTGAAGTTACAGTATCTTTTGTATCTAAAGGTTTGAGCTTTTGGTATTTAAGCACTATTGGGGAGCTGGGGCTTTTGCTTTTCGAGATCCGGGTGTTGGGTTTATTTGATTGGAGATGGGAAGCTCAGAGGAGAAGGTGGTTGCTGTGATCATGGTGGGCGGACCCACTAAAGGTATTCAGAATTTTCTTTCAAGAACTTTGATTAGAATTTGGTTCTAATGTAAGTGCCATGATCAGATTCGTCTGTTTTTCTCTTTCGAATTTTTCAAGTGTCCTCTGCAATGAACAGATCTTCGTTTGCTCTTCTTTGATTTTCATTTTGTTTGTTAGAAAGTCGAGTTTTGGAACAGGGTAATAGTCTGAATATTGTAGAACGAGAAACCCATCTAAACCATATATTATGGTTTAATATGTGGAGGCTAATTTCTGGATTGGGAATATATGTTACCTTTTTTTTGTCTTGTTTGAAAATAGAAAGGATGTTTTTAGAATGGTGGAATGTTTTACAGGTACTAGATTCCGGCCATTGTCTCTAAATATTCCAAAGCCTCTATTTCCTTTAGCCGGACAAGCAATGGTTCATCATCCAATTTCTGCTTGTAAGAGGGTATATTCTTGAGTCCATTTAGACAAAAATCAACAATTGATCTCTAGTTCTTTTGCTTTTTTGGTTTGACTAGCTTATTGAATAATGGAGATTGCTATCTCAACTGTAGATTCCAAACCTAGTACAGATCTATCTGGTTGGTTTTTATGAGGAGCGTGAGTTTGCATTGTTTGTCTCCTCCATCTCCAATGAACTAAGAGTCCCTGTCAGGTAACTTCTTGGCTTTCCCTTTATTAATTCATATTCTTAATCTTTTGCTATGTTTATTTGTCATTGAATCTGTTCATACTGCTATTAGATACCTGAAGGAAGACAAGCCACATGGTTCTGCTGGTGGACTTTATAACTTCAGAGATCTGATTATGGAAGACAACCCGGTGTTTATTTTAACCCTATTGCTTCAGTATTCTGAATTTTAAAAGCTTGAGATTTTCTTTGCATATTATGCTCTAGATGTATAGACCATAATTTGTTGTGTTGGTTATTTTTGAGCTTAACACCTTGTAGTGATTCTTAATTATCTTGTTGCAGTCTCATATCTTCCTGCTCAACTGTGATGTTTGCTGCAGTTTCCCTCTGCCAGAGATGCTTGGTAATTCTTGTTCATTCATTTCTTTAATTGATTTTAATTTTTACAAATTCGTGGGGAACACAAGCGTGTGCATGTTGTTTACTATTTAGAAAGTGAAGAACTTCACTATTTCTGTAGCATGCATGCCTAAATGGGATTCATGCCTAAATGTTTCTCTTGCAGAAGCTTTAATTTCTGCCTTTTGCCTTTATTATCTGCAGAAGCTCACAGAAGATATGGTGGGATGGGAACTCTCCTAGTGATCAAGGTTGATCATGACATATACAGCATCTTTTGCATAGGCAGATCTACTAAAGCTTGATCTGTCTAAAAAATTCTTTGTGTTTGCCTCGTATATATTTTAACCCTCATTTCTCTTTTAGGTTTCTGCTGAATCAGCTAGCCAGTTTGGCGAATTGGTAGCCGATCCGATCACAAATGAACTCTTGCATTATACAGAGAAACCTGAAACTTTTGTATGTATAGAATTCAAGATCCCTACTACTTAACGTAATGTCATGCTTTTGATATTTTTTTGGATAATTATTTGTTTTCAGCTTTGAATTTGTTGACTTCTCTGTTCCTCATTTCATTGTTTCTTTTATTTTTTTCCTTGGTCTTGACACTACGTCGAAATGCAGGTAAGTGACCGCATAAATTGTGGTGTATATGTATTCACTCCAGATATTTTTACTGCCATCCAGGGTGTTTCCTCCCAAAGGAAGGATAGAGGTCAGTGAAATGGAACCTATCATTTGAGTTCTCCTGCTTCCATTGAAGTAGATCGAGTTTACAAGTTTTCCTCATTATTTCTTGTACGTGTAAATCGAGGTCCAAATTCTTGAAATGTGCAACTTAAAATACTACATCCTGGCCATCTCTAATGTCTTCTTATCCTTCCAACAATATGCAGCATCAATTTTAACTATGTTGACACCTGAACCGTATTTTTATTTGTAGCAAATCTAAGACGTGTATCCAGCTTTGAGGCCCTGCAATCAGCAATGAGGTTTGTCCTTGCACTACCTCCAAACTTTTAGTAGTCCATGAAAACTTAACCTGTGGTATTCTTGTTTGCACTTATCCTCAAGCACAATGACTTATGTTTTTTGCCAGTAATACCTCCTTCACTCGTGCTCTTGCCTGTAAGGTTATATGGTTTAGCAGGTTTTCTGCTAATTTTCCTTGTTTTTTTCTCTTTTTTTTCTTTGGTTCAATTTTATTATTTCATACATTTGCAAGTTAGACGTTGAAGTAGCTCTTTTATTTTATGAAGCCAACATCAGGTTTCTTATCGAAGGAAAAGTGAATTGTTCTTTATGGATTGACTGACACCAAAACATCATCTTATGGAATTATCTCTATATATTTAACTTGGTGATAAGATTGGATTGCTTGTCACCCTACCTAAATCAGTTTCTAATGCATGAGTATCTGCTACTGGAGTATGGAACACATCCAACACTATATACTATATGTCCAGCTATATTCTAAGTTTTTGCTCAAATCAGCAGAATTTAGTCACTCCTATTTTATGGATAGATGTATTTTAATGTACATACTGCAATCTTTGTTTTCTACAAGATGTTGTGCATGGTTTTCAAAGTTATCTAGGAGTTTATGATCATATAAACCAAAAATATTTCTCTTTCATAAAGAATAGGGTTGAGAAAGAGAGGAGAGGTTGCAGGAGCTGAAGTGATTAGACAAGCTCTTGGATTTAAAACGGCTGAATAAAGAATTGCAAACATCAAGAACACCCATTAGTTGAGCATTTTTATGATCTTTTTTATTGTATCAAGACACTTACCACTAATCCTTTGTTTGGGGATCATAATAGAATGTGCTTCAATGTATAACAACATAGTCACTTTTTCCTAAATGATATCTTGACATTTGACTGTAGGACTTGCTAGATGCATTGCTGGAATGTGATTCACCAAAATTTTGAAATTGGTTCCTGGGTTTTGACTGGGGTTCACATATACTATTGCTTGAATTAAAATTGATATGAAGATAATTGATGCACTAGGAATGGCATTGAAGTTTCATATACAGATATAATAATTGGACTGGAAATTTTGGTTGAGGCTGATTGGAGTTTAAGTTTCAGTTAATGACAGATGATGCTCCATTTGGTTTAGCTAACAAATATTGTGGGATATTTTCGCTGCAGAGATTCATTTAGATAATCATCTGTTAGATTGAATTTCTGAATTCATTTTAGCAATTTCCTAAACTAATTTCCTTCAACAGGAGTCTTCCTACAGATTTTGTGAGATTGGACCAAGACATCCTGTCGCCTCTTGCAGGGAAGAAACAGTTTTATACTTACGAGACAATGGATTTCTGGGAGCAAATTAAAACTCCTGGGTAAGACCATATATATTTGAGATGTTATTTCACTTTGTTTCCCCTTGCTGCTCCCTGGTCAGGAAACTGAAAACACAAAGATTCCATTTGATTCAATTCCTATTCTATTTTCCTTTCATTTCTCATTCTAATCTCATATTAGTCTTAACATAATGAATTAGAACATGGTTTTCTTATA